CTGTGCTGGCTTCTGTAGAGGCCTTTGATTCCTCTTTAAGTCCACCCTCTCCAGGAAACCTGGACACTGTGGACACAAGGACCTCAGCAAGTCCCAATACGGCCTGTGTGAGTAGCCACACATCTGACTGTCCAAGGCAAACAGCAACTGCTGAGACAGGCCACCTCCAGATTCATAAGAGATGTACACAACATATAAAAGAAAGAAAATAGAAGTTTCAACATGCCCCATAAATAAAAATTTAGCTTGAAAACAGATGTCCACAACAGGTAGACAAGCTACATGTTTCCTCCTCAAATGATACTATGTGAACATGCCACAATATGCTTTACTTAAATTCATAACAAACTTTTTTTTTTTTTGGCCACGCTGTGTAGCATGTGGGATCTTAGTTTCCCAACCAAGGATCAGGGACTGAACCCGAGCCCCCCGTAGTAGAAGCGTGGAGTCTTAACCGCTGGACCGCCAGGGAAGTGCCTGTCACAAACTTTAAATTGAAATAACATAACTAATCAACATCCCTCAGGCTTCTGAGCTGCTAACCAGCCATCAGGCTGCAGGCACTCACATGCACTCTGGGCCTCCATTAACATAAGATTGTGAGTGTGAGAGTCCCTATGGTTCTGGCCTGCTTTATCAATCAGTGAGACTCAGTTTTACTTGACTGTTAAGACACCCATTTCTCTTGACTACATATATAAACAGTCTCTCAAAATGCCCAGGAGGCGGCCCTGAAGGCCATGCGGAACCCGCACTAGTCATGACCCTGACCGGACGGCTGTTTTGACTTCTACCTCCGCAAGGGCTCTGTTGATAAGAGCTTCCAGGGCGTTGTCACTCTGGTGTCAGCAGGTTCCACGAACGTTACAAGGTTCATGACAATTTACAAGTTTCAGTGCTATCTGCAGCGCGAGCCACAAGGATGAGCCACAAGGATGAGAACTACCTATATCTGGCTGTCGGTTAAAATCTTTACCAAAGACTGCTCTTCTGAAAACGTGGAGAGAGCAAGTGAAACAGAGGGAGGGGCAGGGTGATGAGAAAAAGTAAGAAACCAAACTTCTTTAAATTCGTATTGTAGTGATTTGTTAAAACAGTTACCTTTCCTGGAAGTGCTCTCTGTTTATGAGGACCATGGAAGTGGTTTTTTCTTGTTTTTTTCCTGTGGGAGAAGGGAAGCAATGAGGGAAATGAAAGAGTTCATTTAAGTGCCATATTCACATAAGGCTAATTTGTAAAAGCTCAAAGCAGCTGAATACACTTACAGCCAGCACTGGTCCACAAAACTTCACTTGAGAAGGCTAATTGAGATTCTTCAGGAGAACTCCCGGCCTTCAGTAGTTAGGGAACGTTTCATTAGCATTCTGAGCCTCCCCCTTTTCTAGAAGGCTAAGTCTGACTCTGCCTGGCCTGGGTTCACGGCTTGTGAATTTCCAACAGAGTCTAATCACTATCATTGTGAGGCTGCTGATGTGGTTTTGCAGCCCCTTTGCCTTTTTGTTTCTTTTGGTTTCAAACTAAAGTTGCATTTAACACGACTGTATTAGTTATACAGGAATACTGTTTAAAAAAAAAAACAGAAATGATGCCCCACCTCCAGGACTGTAACATACAGGCTGAACTTGCTAATTAAGACACCTCTGTCTCAAACTAGAGGCGTGCTTTCTATAAAAGAGAATCGTTAGAGCTGACGGCTGGAGTTCAGAGACCAGTAAACTCAATAAAATCTTATATTCTACCATTTTTAACTCTATATAGATGCAGTATTTGAACAGTTGACTTTTTAAGATCAGTGAGAGGATGACACCCATTTGACTATTCTTATTTTTTACTAAAATGACATGTTGTAGGTTCCTCTGTATATTTTTTTAAATGCTTAAAGATGTTGGAGAAATCAGTGTCATGGGAAACTGCATGTTTAAACATTTAATTAGAAGCCTCTCCCACGAACCAGGAAAAATTTCCTCTCACTGCTATCTTAACATCTATTATTACAGGCTTACAAAGAATCATAGGATAAAACTAAAATAGTACAAAGGTCTCCAGGTATCTGCCATGATTATTATTGATGAGTTTTCATTTGTATGTAAGCAATGTAAGCAATGACACACACACACACACATTTACATACACACATATGTGCATACGTGTATATAACACAACTGCCTAGGCCCAAAGTTTGGCTGAATTATTCCATCTATACTTTTCACATAAGAAAAAAAAAATCTATAGATTTGCCTCTATCTAAAAGGTAACATCGTTTTCCAAGAAATATTTCATAATTTTTCTAGAGTAAAAGGTAAAATTTCTTACTGCTGTAACATTTAAATAAGTACTTTCCTTCTATTGGACCATAAAAACATACTTGAATATACTTTTTCCTTTCAATTTCCAACTACTTTTTTTAATGACATTCTGAAGGAAAGCCTATTAGTAAATGAAATTCCACTGACAATTTATTTCAGCCTTTAATATATTTTCTACTAAAAATCAAGCTGTCAAGACAGAAAAATATTACTGATTTTGTTATGACAAGAAAACAAGTGAGAATTTTTAATTCACAAAGGATGAAAACACAAGACATTGATCTCATTATACATACAATATTACAATAAGCTGATTAGCTGTGGACTATTAAAACATTCAAGACTTCACATACACACAGGTGTACTTTGAAACAAGAAACACAGGACAATTTTAATCTTTGATATGTCATAACTACCAAGAGAAAGAACATCACTGATTTGAGTCTAATTGTTTTCCTGGCATACAATCACTATATAGGCCAGGCCTAAAGCATACTGTATATTGTTAAGGACATCTTTAGGCAAATATAAACATTCTCATTTGGGAGCTTTTTCTCCCTACCCAAAAAACAATACTTTCCCATTGCTGTCAAGTAGCTTGGTTTGTTATCAATTTAACAAGATCACAACAACAAACAACATTTTCACCACAAAACTCCGGTGAGAGGTTTTTACGCAGGTCATACAAAAAATATTTGTCCCCAAGAAAAGTAATCTGTAAATTATAGATGCGACCCTAAGAAAAAGAATCTTGGTTACAAATCATTCACTTTCAAATATTGATGAAGAAATAAAGAGTGGAGGGGGTGGGAGGGGA